GACACCTTACACTATCAATCAGTCGTTATGCTATCGGTATGCTCGTTTCCAAGATATCAAGCTAACTTCCCCTAGTTTCACTTCTATACTTTTTTAACCTACAGTGAGCCCTAAGTCTGGTGTGCTTTGAACGAAAACTGCTGATTTTTTTTCAAACTTTCGACCTTGAAGGAACTGCGCTCGATTGATAACCCTCACCCCCGATTATCTTGGAAAGTTAGCCAAGAAAATTGTGTTGCTATTAGATAGTAATCGACTGTTACACTGTACACTTTCAGTGACGGCATTAGATTTGCTAAACGCTGAATGTGATGAGATTTTTCTTGTAAATTGTGAATGTATTTCCTTTTTTTTTCATATTTGGCATCTCCGTGGGTTTTGGTAGATCCTTTGCCAATGCTGAAGCTATGTATAATTGTGTTTGTACTGCACATGCGTATGCAAATATTTTACTCTTTGTGTTTACACTTATGTTCTCACCTTTTCAGCAATAAAATATAAGATTTTATCTTAAAAAAAAAAAGATTTAAAGCTTTAAGATCAAGGTAAAAAAAAGGGGGATGGGTGTGAAATCTAAATTCTAAACAATTAGTGGCAATAAATTGCTTAAAATCACTGATATTTTCTCTTATCAAACGGTAAGAAATTGACCAGTACAGACTTCTATCAGCCTAACCTTGCAACGAAGTACATGACGTAAGAAGTGTCTTATCGAAATCATCCACTGAAATGACGATAACACATTGGCCCTTGTGATATCTATTTCTATTGAAGGTTTACACATATACCTCTTTAGGCCACACTTCGTCTTTACTTGATTTAAACCTTAGAGAAAATGTGATGCTATTAATTGCTTTTCATCACAGGATGCGAGAAGTGATCCACATTTAATGATACTTGCTTCCCTGTTTAACTCTGATGATAAGATAAATAGGCAGAGAGTTTCCTAATAAGAATGCAAATGAAATAATTATTATGTAATTGCTTTATTGCAGCAATAAACTTTGTTAAATTCTAAAAATGAAATGGACTTACGCAAAAAGCGCAATGGCACGATAATAAAAATGCAAAAACCTCTTAAGTTCTTTCATATCTTTAATTCTCTAAGCAATTGCTTGTCTCGCGCAGTGGTTAATGTAGGAGTTGGGAGGTGCACCCACGATGCAAAGGGCTAGGCGAGGGAAACACAATTTTCTTTTCCAGAATTGATATGCTACAGGAATAGTCAAAGACCACTCCCATCCCTAGCTTTGCCCATTCCCAACCCAGAGAATAAATTGTCGCTCTAGCCCTGAGATCCGACTTTCTTTGCACTTCAGAGTCGTAAAAATGAACCTAGCTGACAAATCTTTATTACCACCTGTAATTATGTTGACAGCGCTATTATGTATATGAGAGAGGTTGTGTGGTTGTGTATTAATATATTTGCTTTTGTTACCCAATTTACTGGGTCGTTTTCTGTGGTGATTTCACCTCAGAAGTTGTGAATATGATTTAGATATTTTTTATTGGTAAACTTGATTAAATCAAAACTCTCATGAACATCATGCCTAACTGAAGTTACTTAAATCAAAGTTTATTTCGTGTGTGGTTCCGATCTGTGTTAACTTGACGGAAAAGAAAAGTAAGGAAAAAAAAAAAAACGAAATATAACCAGTGTTGTGTTACCGGTCATAAATTCTTCATCAAAAATAGCTTGTTATGTTGTGTAAACTTCTAATTTTAAAGATTTCAGCTTCAAATGAAATAGGAATTAACTTTTTTACATAAGTAAAATTGTACTATACCAAAAGAAGTACTCAACTTGTCTCTTTACATCTAGAAATAGCATACTAATGCTTACAGTGTACTTTAT